AGTGAGCTTTGTGGAAATAGGTATTAATGGGTGTTAGTGAGCTTCGTGGAAATGGGTGTTAATGGGTGTTAGTGAGCTTCGTGGAAATGGGTGTTAGTGAGCTTTGTGGAAATGGGTGTTGAGATTTGTGGAAATGGGTGTTAATGGGTGTTAATGAGCTCTGTGGAAACAGGTATTAATGAGCTTTGTGGAAATAGGTGTTAATGAGCTCTGTGGAAACGGGTGTTAATGAGTTTTGTGGAAATGGGTGTTAATGAGCTTTGAGGAAATAGGTGTTAATGAGCTTTGTGGAAATGGGTGTTAATGAGCTTTGTGGAAATGGGTGTTAATGAGCTTCGTGGAAATGGGTGTTAATGAGCTTTGATGAAATAGGTACGAATGGGAATTGAATACGTTGGTTGTGTGTGTGCGAATGGGGATGGAGAGCTTGGGTTTGTGAATGGGGTTGAGTGCTTTTGGTGGAGGGGATTTTTAGCTTAAATTGATGAATGAAAAAGAATAAGGATTTATAGCTTAGGGTGAGTAAGGCATGTAACTGAGAATGATTAACTTTGGTGGCACGAATGAAAATGAATGATTTAATCTGTGGAGGAGGAAGAATAACGTAAGTTTATGAATGTAAATGAATAAATTAGATTTTATTCGATGAATTAGAATGGGTAATACAAGTCCATGAATAAGAAAGAATGAATTTAGACGCAGGTGATGTGTCTGGCGAGAGGGTGTGCACGACCACGTTGGGAAGATGTGAACGAGAGTTGAGATGTGAATGAGAGTATCTTCGGAGGATGTGAATGAGTGTTTAAAAAAAAAAGTATGAATGGACATGATGAGACAATATGAATGAATGTCCGGTATCCGAATAGTTTACCGGACATGTTAAGAATTTAATGACACGTTCAGAGGGGGTCTAAATAGATATGAATGAACGTATTGGGAAGATATGAATGAATATTCGGTGTTCGAATAGATGTCACATATAAGGTTCATTCTTTTCGGAAAAAAGAGGGCGAGAGATAGAGAGAAATAGGGATTGAGATAGAGAGAGAAAGAGAGAGAAAGGGGGAGTGGACGATAAAAAAGAGAGAGAGGGATGTAATGAGAAAATATAAATAAACTTAGAAGGTATGGATATGTTAAGAAGGGATGCATGGATATTTTGAGAAAGTGTAAATGAGAATAAGAGTCATTCCACGAACAAAGAAATATGATTGGTGGTTCGGTTTCAGAGTTGAGTTGTTTATCAAGTGAAGGTGGAATGTCGAAAACTTTAATGAAAAATCTTTTTTTTTCTGTAATTATTATTTTCTATTTCATTTTATTATTATTATTATTATTATTATTTTATCATTCATTTTTTTTACAGCACACTCGATTAGTTTAATACAAGAAACATTTACGAACGAAAAGAAAATATCATGCGCAAAATTCTTCTCTAAAAATCCTTGACTACATGCAAGGAACAAGACATGATCACTTTTTATCTTTTTAATACCACTGTATTACTTTTTTTTTCTGACGATACATCTGTTAACAATATTTCTTATGCTCTAACATTATCTTGTCCTTGCATTGTGTGCTTGCTTGGTTGCAAATGAACGTATTTTTTTTTATACCCTTGTCTTTTGCTTTTACTTCGCTTGCCAGTGCATTCGGTGTTATTCATGTGTGTGTGGGGGGCGGCTTGATTATTGGGTTCTCCTTTGTTTTTTGTTTTGTTTTGCGTGATGTAGGCACATTGTGGTTAGAAGGGGAGGTTGGTCTTTGGAACTGGTCGGTGCGAAGTGGAAGATGGGGTAAAAGAGACTTTGAATTTATTTATATTTTAGAGTACATTGCGGGTTTTTTTCTTCTTCTTTGTCTTCGAATAAGTTACGTGTTATTTCTTTTCTTTATTTTAGAATAAACTGAGTGTCAGTTTTTTTATCTATAAATTACGTGTTAATCGTTTTTTTTTTTTTGAGTAAATTATTATTTTTTTTCTTTGTTTTAGAGTAAATTGCGTGTTAGTTCTTTTCATTAGTTTAGATTATATTACGTATAATTTTTATCCTTGTCTGTTATTTGAATCATTAATATAGTTTCTTGAGGCGTTGTCGCTGGGTTTATATTGTGGTAAATATGTTCGTGTTAAATATATTCGTCGTTTTTCGTCTTGTATAAATGTCGATTTCGTTCTTTTGAAGTTTAATAACGCAGTATGTAACACGCAGTAGAATCTGAACTCTTGTATTAATAATATGGTAGCTACTGATATGCAGTCCATCAGATTTACCGTTAAGAAGTCTATATTAAAACTATATTACTTTAAGCTGAGAAATCAATATATTAGAAACCCATTTTAATGAGATCAGCGAAGATAATCAGTTACAAGTTACATCTTATTTTTATATCACATTAATAATCACCAATAAAATGGTCATGATTATGCGAGTTTTCCTTTTCACTTTACTGTACTATACCAATATGTAGCGCCTTTGCCCTTTTGTATTGAGGTATT